ACCTGTAAAATTAGAATAAACGTGGGACCTGCCTGCATCACAGGGCTGCCCTGTGAGGCTGGCAGGACGACGTAGATGAGAAATGTAAAGTGATGGCACAGGAGTGTTCGGTCTGATTAAGTAACTGAATCAATACTCCCTCCCTTGGGAACTGACCTTTAGCCCACTTCACAATGGACATTCCCTTTCACTTAGACCATATTCCATTTGCTATCACCATTATCCTTCCCCTCTGGACATTTCTAGACTCCAGACCCACTCAGAGAATTCTCTCGCAGAAAAAGCCCTTTAAAATCTCTGACTGTCCGTCCCTGGGGGCTGGTGCCATTTTTGGGCTCCGTCCATCTGGTTTTCCAGATGACCTAATCCTATAAAATAAAAGCCTGATATGCTAAGTGTCCGGTCATCCAGACGGCCATTCAACCAATCAAAATATAATATGCTAATAATATGCTAAGGCCGCTCAACCGATTGCTATGATGTGCATTGACCACTAGGAGGCAGATAGTTGACCGGTCAACCAGTCACTGATGTGCACTGACCACCAGGGGGCAGACGTTCCGATTGGTAGGTTAGCTTGCTACTGGGGTCTGGCTGATTGGGACTGAGCAAGACAGGCCAGACACGCCCTGGAGCCCTCCTGCAGTCCCACCCTGGCTGGCCAACCTTCTGCCCTGATCATGCACCGGTGGGGTCCCTCAGCCTGGCCTGCACCCTCTCACAATCCAGGACCCCTTGGGGGATGTCAGAGAGCCAGTTTCAGCCCGATCCCTGCAGGCCAGGCAGAGGGACTCCACTGGTGCACGAATTTGTGCACCGGGCCTTTAGTAATTTTATAATTCTTTACCACTTTTGGCCTCGTGCATTCATCCCGTGATGACCCTAACAAGTAGGAGGACTGTGATTACACCTACAGGAACACGTGGGCAGCCTCTGCTTTCCTCCTCTGTGCATCTTGTAGTTCCCGGTATCCGTATGTCTTGCCCCTCTCACCTCAGCCTCTCATTGCCCAGATTCCCTTCTCCATCCCATCCCCACCCCTGACCTTCCTTTGTCCCTTCTCTAGAGGATTCGTGGAGGAAACATCTCTAAAGGGTGTGCATGTCCTATGTCCCATGGGCTGTCTATCTCATGTAAATTTCTTAGTCCTTCTTAAGTAGCCGTCCTTCAGGTCATCACTGGACAGATGAACAAACGGAGGTTCAAAAGGATGCAATAACTTGCTGGTAATCGCCCCCGACCCCCACCCCCACTCCCACCCCGGATTCCAAATGAGGACTTTTTTGAGTCTGAGCTCTTGGCTACTATATCTTCCCCTCCAGGCAATAAATACAGGGTGTCCCCAAAATATATATACACTTTGAATAATTATTAATTCCAATGGACTAAAGCTGAAAAGAAACATCAATGTATACACTTTTTGGGACACCTTATGTTTATCGAGCATCTACTGTGCGCTGGGCACAGCGCTATGTGCTGGGGATGCAGTTTCTTCCTTTAAAAAAAAAGCAGTTTCCAAAGGACCACCCTCAGGTCACATCATAGAAACGGTCCCATTCAGCCCGTCACAGGAGGGGGATGCATTCCCGGGGCCGGTAATGCTCCATTCTCGCACCCGAGTCCCCGGTGGTTTCTGTGTTCGCCTTCCACACTGAACCTTCTCGATGCCTGTGGGCTGCAGCCAGCACACCCAAAGGTTCTCTCTGAATGCTGGTTGCATTTGGTTAAAGGAAAAGAACATGCCCGCCTCACCCTGGGGAGAGAGTGAACACAAGGGAACCAGAGGAGAGATGGTGGAGGGAGAGCTGGGAGTAGACGTGCCATGAGACGGAGAGGTTTCTCCTTTCAAAAATGTCTGTGTTTCCCAATGAAATGGTGGTTCCAATCATGTTGGGACCGCACCTTGTAGGGCACGGCTATAGGGTTAAGCCTCGGACTGACCTTTTGGCAAAGCCACAGACAAGTCCCAGCTTAGAGGGCACAGTCCCCTGAGCATAATTAGGCTTGACCTTATGACGCTCCCTAGATCTTATCTGGGAAGCTACAGGGCTGAGGGAGATGTAGCAAGTGCTGTCAGAACAAGTGAAACTCACAAGATCACTGTAACTATGGTGACCACTACCTTGTTTACCTCTGGCTATAAAATAAAGGCTCAGCTTGCCTCTGGATCTCTCTCTGTGGCCTCAGCCAGGCACAGGAAGATCCACCTAGACCAGGGGTGGGCAAACTTTTTGACTCGAGGGCCACAATGGGTTCTTAAACTGGACCGGAGGGCCGGGACAAAAGCATGGATGGAGTGTTTGTGTGAACTAATACATGTTAACACTACTGCTGGTGAAGGAGCGGAGGGGAGAGCAAGAGAAGCCTCCACTCTTTCGGCTCCGCGGGCCGGATAGAACAGCCGAACAGGCCGGATCCGGCCCGCGGGCCGCAGTTTGCCCACGGCTGACCTAGACCCAGCTTATTCTCTTTGTCTGTCATTTCTTCATCTTTTTGCTGCCCTCACTCAGGCTTTCAAACCCTTGGCTGAGCTGGCTCAGCACATGCCTGGCATCGCCCAGGCCTGGCATCACTTCAAATAAGAGCAGGCTAGTCTCTGAGATGTCTTGTAAGGTACAGTGAGCATGTCTGAGCGACCCTTTGGGCTGGACAGGCTGCCGGGCATGGGACATGGTGGCCGCCCCTCTCAGGCGGCACCCAGTCCCGCCTGGAGAGAGGGGTGATCATGTGGTGTGTGGCAGGCAGAATGCTGAGGTGGCAGAAGGTGCCTGCCCTGGTGTGCATGCCCTGTATCACCCGCACCCCTTGTATGGGGGCAATAAGATGGGATGTCGCCTCCATGACCGTGTCACCTTAAGTAAGTCTGTCTTAGCAGATGGAGGAAGGGGCTCCCCTGCTAGCTTTGAGGAAGTGCACCCCTGCTGTGGAGAGGACCATGTGACAGGGAATGGCGGGGGTCCTCTAGGAGCTGAGAATGGCCCTGTGCCTACAGCCACCAAGGAAGCCGGGCTCTCGGTTCTACACGCACACGGGACTCCGCTCTCCCAACGGTGACCTTGGAGGAGGATCCTGAGCCCCAGGTCCGGACCACAGCATGGCGGGGACCTTGACTGCAGCTGCTGAGACCCTGGTCAGGGTTCCTGCCAACTCACACCTGCAGTCCTGACCCACAATTTGTTACACTGCATTCAGAAACTGACATCCCCTCTAGAGACATGAGAGGCACAGTGAAGGGCCTGTTATAAGCCATGGCGTCTCCTCCCCCGTCGGGGGAAGGTGAACTCTGGGGCCAAACTGCCTGGGTTAAATCTTGCACTGCTACAGACTGTGTGACTTTATGCAAAGTACTTAACCTCTCAGTGCCTCAATTTGCACCTTTGTAAATGAGTCTGGTAATATTTACTACTTAACTAACTTACTAGATGTAAAACACTTAACACTGTCACTGATGCACAGCCAGTACTACTCAAGTGCTTCCTAACGTTGTTACCAAATCAAAAACCAAAACGAAGCTGTGTTTAGAATCACAGAAGATCAAGAGTCTCTTATCAGAGACATAGACACTGAGCTCCAGAGAGAAGAGTCTTGTTCAGGCCAGAGGGAGAGCTCTACATTCAGAAACGGTGTTTAATCCTGAAGCTAAAGGCTCTGAGAAGCACACAGGATAGAGTCTCTAACCCATTCCTGGGGACACCAGGGTCAGCGTCAGGCCTCTCCATGCTGGTTTAGCAAGAATCGGGCTGAGCACTTAAATCAGGTTCACAAGGGTCCCCTTACCCTTGATGTCTCCTCCTAGTAATTTTCCATCCTCCACTCCCAACAGGGGTAGCGCGCTCTGTAGCCAGTGCCACTCAAGTGTTCAATAATCTGTGGGGAGGGTGGACAGGCTAATGAACTAGCTAATGTGGGTCCATCTATAATGAACTCGGAGAGAAGAAGGTAAGACTTCTCATTGTTGTTTTATCTTTTACATCTGGGTAACTAAAAGCAACTTATAACTATAAATAAGCTACATCCATTCTAATCTACAAAGCAATTCAATGAATGAATACATCTTAAAAGTTGTTAGAAGATGTTTAAGCAGATAGAAAATGATCCCTTTTGTTTTCTGGTGATAGGGCAACCACCTGGGGCTAGTGACGTGTCCTATGATACCAGGTACTGCCCCAGGGTCCCACCTGTGGGACTAGCTCACCAATGCATTGCATACACATCAATGGGGAACCTTCCGCGTCCTGGCTTTAACACTATCTGCCATCAAACTTTATAATGTATTGTATAATATAATGCACTCGAAAGGTTACATACACATATATACTAGTACCTAGTCTATGAATTGGCCTGCTTATGTAACCCATTTCTCAGTCAGAACACTAAACTAGCAAAACAACTGTCCATACTCTTCAAAAATGTCCCTGTCAAGAAGTGTAAAGAAAGACCAAGGCATTGTTCCTGATTAGAGACTACAGACGACTAAACACAATATTTGAACTTGAATTGGACCCTGGAATCGGGGTGCAGAATGGGATGGAGGTCATTTCGAGTTCAAGATAGACATACAATACGCAGGTGCGGCCACGTGTGTGCATGTGTGTACCAGCTCCCCTATGAAGACATTATTAGAACATTTGGCAAACTTTGAAAGTAGACTGTGTGTTAGACTATAGTCTGGTATCAACGTTAACTTTCTTGCACTGGACCCTTGCATTGTAGCTCTATAAGATAATGTCCCTATTTTTTTTTTTTTAAAATACATATTCAGATTTAAAGGGGCACGGCACCTACAATTCACTCTCAAATGCTTTAGAAAAAATACTGTAGACAGAGATACGAGGCATATGTGACTAAATGTAACACCTGGTGAATCTGAATGACGGGCATCAAAGTTATTGGTGTTATTTGTGACTCTTCTGTTTGAAGCTATATAACAATAAACTGAAATTGTTTGCATGAATGTAATAAGGCGAAACCTACCTTAGAATTACCTCTTCACTTTTCAGCTATCTAGGTAACTGTCCATCACATGAGAGCTGACCAGGCCTGGTTCACTGTCGTCTCCACAGTGCTCATCGCAGAGCGGACGCACATTACTATTTGTGGCATGCAGAAAGAAATAATGATGACTGCAAGGAAACTGTTCTGATACCGCCCTTCCTGTCTTCCTTCGCAAGCACAGCAGCACAACTTACCCAGGAATCCGTTGAAGAGTTTTGCTCTGAGCAAGCTCTGTCAATCATTTCATGACATCATCCCAGCCTCACTGATCAGGTGGTCTTGGTACCACGCCTTGGGAGCACTTCCCAGAACTTCATTCCAGAAGATGTGGTGTCTCAAGACTATCTGTATATGTTGGAACAAACCAATGACCAACTCCATCCAAATTCATAATGAGAAACCCTACATTTTTGTGGTGCCCCCATGATCTCCTTGTCAGTTGTCACCAACCATCCCTTGAAATTGGAGGGCACATACGAAGAACATTTATGTTAAATGAATGAAGACAAAGACCATGGCGGCTCTCTGACGTTAGATTCCATGGGTCTGAGACTTCTTAGAATGCATTTAGCAGATAACTGACATTTCATAAACATCAGTGGCATGGCATTGGGAAATTAAAAAAGCAAGGAGGGGAAAAAAGATATTACCACGACCTACATGAAGATATAACTGCACAAGCTCAGTAGCCAAGCTGATTTCAGTATCATCTGAGGAGACAACAGCATAGAGCGGAAAGATAGAGGTTTTTGAAGTCAGCCAGATTTGGGTTCAAATTCTGACACCTCCATGGACAACCTGTATGATTTTGGGCGAGTCACATAATTTCTCTGAGGGCTGGTTCCATTCACTTAATAAAAATACCTTCTGTATATTAGAATGTTGTGGTGAGGACACATAAGTGCCAACTACCTTGAAGCCTTGGTTCATTAAATGGAGGCTCCAATCACCTCCACCAATGGCGTGCAGGCACCACATTAGAGAGTGGATTTTCCTCACGTTTCTCCCACCAACACAGAGCTCCCTAGAGGCCTGGTGATCACAAATGCAGTCTTAACTCAAAGACAGTGGAGTCTTTGAAAGGAAGAGAATTAGAGTAGGGTCTGTCCTTTCACGATGGGGCACAAAGAAGCCATTAGTCAGCTCAGCACATATGTGCTCTGTGAACCAGCCCTACAGACTTGGAGATCCCTGGAGGCAGATGCTGAGTTGAGGTCCAAGGGGGAGCTGAAAACAGTGTCTCTACCTGGGCCCTGTCGTCGGGGAAGTAACCCGGAGCCTTCAGGGAATCAATTACTGGCCCCTAGAGTCGATCTCGCTGTCGAGATAGGATTAGAGATTGCCCGGGTCCATTTCAAATGAATTTTCAGAAAGTCCAGAAGCATAGCAGGATTTGGAGCAAACAGGAGAGGTTGCTGTCTAGACTGTGTGTGTAATTAGATGGACGTTGAAGGAAAAAGTCTGGAAATCTAATAACTTTGCTATCCTTCTGTCTGCCGATATTTAACCCGTTTCTTCCTTAGCTGGGGGAAGGAAGGAACATTGCTTGCTTTGTGGCTTCGGATTCAAACAAATAGGCCTACGTTTAAATTCTGGTTCTGCCACATAGGGACTATGTGAATTTGAGGAAGTTACTTAATTTCCCAGAACTCGCTTAATTTCCTCATCAATAAACAGCAATGTCCACTTTGTTGTTTGGCTACAAGGACTCTGTGAGCTAATGCATACCAAAGGTCCTCCCACATAGTGGTGTTACTCAATACATCTTAGCTCTGTTAGATTCTGAATATTACGGAGAAACCTCTTCTTTCAGCTGCATGCCAAGATGGCATCGGCTATTTAAACACACACCAATGGAAAAACACCAGTGTGACCCGTATACACGCTTGTTCTCCCCTAGGGAACGGACAGGAAGGAATCGGTACCCACAGCCATTGCCTCTGTCCAAATGGCTGCAGCTCCCCACATGGGCTGGCGTGAACTGCTGTTCCCAAGGCAAGTTCTGGGAATCCACGATGCTGGCTCTGCAGACCTCAGCCTCCACATGGAACCTGGACTTCAGCCAACATCCGAGCTCCGGCCTTAAGTGAGATCAACCTTCATGTGTCAGGCACCTGTCTTTGGGGAAATGGAATTTTCTCCTGTTGGTGTGTAGTGGCAGGTTCTGGCACCTGTAAACTCGGTGTCCATGAAGCTACACCATTCTTCAGTTTGTACCTATTGTCTCAAAGCAATTAGCACCTCCCTTCATCCTCGGAGGTAACCCAGTTTGGAGGATGAATAATATGGTCACGACAAAACCCATAGGACTGCCAGTGAGAGCGAGGTGGCTGGGTACGATTCAGGGGCCATGGAAAAGAAATGTAAAACATAAAAGGCTTTAAGGAATTAAAAATAGATTTGTAACATTGAGGAACCAGTGCTACTTAGCTCAAGTAGCTGGTAGTCATTAATCCAAAAGCTGTATCAATACATCTGTTAACAGTGGCCTTCTCTAGAAAGGAGAGAATGTCTGAGTGCCTGTGTGTGTATACACAGGGAAGAGAAGGCATTGGCATGCTGGTCAATGTTTAACAACCAGCTCTCAGGTACTGGTGCCCTAATTGGTGGCTTAATTACTCCTATGATGGTCAATATTGAGCTACAGATGTGATGTCACTTGAACATCGAAGAAAAGGGATGCACAGAGTGAGTTCCTGTGAGCTGGTTCCCACACACCAATGGAGAAAGGGGGTTTACCATGTAATTTGAACACTTTTGGAATGTTTTACTTTTTACTCTATTCATGGATTGACTTTGTAATGTGCATACTACGTATAGGTTATATGTAATATATGTAGATGATAGATATGTGCACACACATAAACTTATTTACATTGGTTTCAGGATTAGCCTTAAGAGTGGTTTTCCTAATTTTTAAAAAATAAATCCAAGTGAAATATCCATCTGACCATATAACACGCCCACCGTTCCTAAACCAGGTTGCTGTGGGTGTCCTAGGACCACCAGGTCCAAGGGGTGGGGGCTCACTTTCCCTCTGATGCCCATGATTTACCTTGCTGTCCCCACCTGGTATCTAAAACATCTGTGTTCAGACAGAAACTAAGTGGGAAATGGAAAAATGCTGTGAGTGTTAAGAGCAGGGGTCCTCAAGCTACGGCCCACGGGCCACATGCAAATACAAATATTGTATTTGTTCCCATTTTGTTTTTTTACTTCAAAATAAGATATGTGCAGTGTGCATAGGAATTTGTTCATAGTTTTTTTTTAAACTATAGTCCGGCCCTCCAACGGTCTGAGGGACAGTGAACTGGCCCCCTGTTTAAAAAGTTTGAGGACCCCTGGTTAAGAGGATAGAGTGAAATCTAACCTCAGGGAAGGAGGAAAAGGTTAAGGTTCAGATGACGAGAGAAATAAAACGGCAACAGGAAGTGGAAAGTTGCTGTTTCTCAAGTTTGCTGGCTGCACTGAGTGTGTCCCCGCAGCTTCTTACAGGAGTGGGAGGGGGCTGGAGGAAACAGTCCATACTTCCATTTATTGAATGCAGCGTTCGCTGGGCACATCGCAACTCAATACAAACCGCCCCGCAGGGGAGGGCATTGACTCTCATTCTCATCATTGTAAACACAACATTAATATTGAAGATTCAAGAAAATGGGTAAAAAGTCCAGTGTCTCCTCAATCTGTATAACAGTGAAGGTGCCTGCCTACCCTCTGGGCAGGTCCCATGGGAGCCTGAGGTCGTGACCTCGTCCCCACCGCAGTGAGGCGGGAACGAACACAGGAGCCTATGTGCTCGTCTCCAACATCTCCGAATGGACACGTGCACCTTCAGCATCCGCTCGCACGGATTACATTAGTCCTTCCACAGGCCTGAGAGGCTCGCACCTTTCACGTGCACCAAACCAGTCCCTTCGAAGCCCTTCCCCCAGGAATCAGTTGTTGCCCATAGAAAATGTGACCGCTTGTAAAACAGTTGGTTTTCCTATGTCCGCCTTAGCCCCGGGATTCTGGGGAGGGGGGAGTTCAAGGTCACAGGGGCCTTGGTGATGACCCTGGAGAAGGCTGCCCATGTTCAACCACTGGCTGAATTTGCCTCCTCCCTGCTGGGCCACTGTGGATAGAGGGTGTGGGTTGAGGCAGCTGATTTTTCCGTCAGAGCCTTAAAAGGTCAGATTTTCTATCTTGGATTCCCATACCAAAACAAACCAACAAAATCCGCCTCACTCCCCACCCCCAACAAAAACAAATCAAAACCAGAGTGACGTTGAGGACAAAGAACCAAACACCCCCGCCTCCAGGTCCCGCCACGCACAGTGTCCCCATCGGGGTATTTATTTATTTGTTTTTAGATGGTTGGTTCCAATCATCGGCTTGCCCTCATCTTGGGTACTCAGCTAGATGGCAGGGCAAAGACGAAAGTTTGACGCATGAAAAGACCCTTTTGCCTTTATTTCCTGGGATGGCTGACGCCCAGCACCCTCACTTCCTTTTTCTTAAACAGCAACGAGAACGTCCCACAGACCTGCTTGGTTGTGTGGCTTTGTGGTAGGATAACCCCATGGCTCCCTCTCACCCTTGCGTGTCCCATTCTGGAAGAGACCCTGGGGACGAGCTCGTTTTCCCACCTTCTGGGAATGCTGGGTTGTGGGGCAGAGCGGGCCTGGACGGATCCTTGTCCCAGATCTCTGTGGTGTAGGCAGCCTTGTTGGGCCAAAGAGACAAATAAAAACAAACCAAAAAAAGCATTGCTTCATTGTGAGTTCCAAGGCTGGGCCCCACACAGCAAGTGGCTCTCCCCCCGGCAGAATGTCTGTCTCTCCCTGGTGGTGGCTTCGTGGTGCTAGCTGTTGTTCTCGGCCGTGAGATATTTGAGGGCGGCAAAGCCATAGCGGCGGGACATGTCCTGCTGGAACTCTTCCTTCAGGGTTTTGAGACAGACGCGGTATTGCTTGTTGGACCGGAACTTGGTGATGTCGAAGCTGGGGGCGTGAGGCATGTGGATCATGTAGGCGTTGGGAAGCACGGTGAACTCGTATTCCTGGAAGGAGACAAGAGCAGCTTGAGCACCTGCAAGAACCCTGGGTCACAGGCGATGAATCCACCGGGATGACTGAAGAACTAGGGGAATGAATGGAGGCAGGCCATGAACCAGGAGGGCAGCACCACGGACAGCACCAACGCGGCCTTCCCCTGGCGTAGGACAAAGTGCTTGGCTTCTCTGAGCCTTAGTTTTCTCAGCTATAAAGTGAAAGTGATCATGCGGACCTTGGAAGATGAGGAATGATGTTGACATAGTGCTGGGCAGAGTTCAGGGCCCATAAAAGGTGCTCGATAAATGTAAGCACGTGCCCGTCTAGCTGCTCTGGAAAGAGAGGTTACCCTGCTCAATGAAATGAGGTCTGTTTAGGTGATTTCTCACAGGACTCGATGTGTGATCTGATCCGACAACCTCAACAGATCAGCACAAAGGAGGGGGCAGAGAAGGGACAAAGAAAAAGTCCCGTCTTGATGGACAGAACTTCGTCAAGAATAAAACTCTCACCTACACATCTAATTACAAGTCACACCCCCATATGGTGTCCCCTATGTGACAGGCTACAGATAGGAACTCAGACAAAAAGACAAAAATGTCTCTGAACAGCAAAACAGGTGACAAACATCTAGGACATGTCACTCAAAGGAGAGCTCAGCACACCTTCACTCAGCATCTATGTACGCTGGTTTTGGACATAATGTCTAATAAATCTTGGTCATCTAGTTGCCTGGCCCAGGGCAGAATAAACTGGGAAAGAGAAAATCCAGATGGAGGAATTCTGATGGCGGCAAGAAATGACAGCTGATGGTGAGAAAGGAGAGAAAAGAGCCCTAGCTGGTTTGGCTCAGTGGATAGAGCGTTGGCCTGTGGACTGAAGGGTCCTGGGTTCGATTCTGGTCAAGAGCACATGCCCGGATTGCAGGCTCAATCCCCAGTAGGGGGCGTGCAGGAAGCAGCCGATCAATGATTCTCTCATCAATGACGTTTCTCTCCCTCTCCTTGCCTCTCAGAAGTCAATAAAAAATACATTTTTTTTTTAAAAAAAAAGGAGGGAAAAGAAAAGGTTTAGTTGCCTGAGACATTTCATGTGGAGACAAAGAGACCTATCAATCCACCTGCCCCTACAGGTTTGGCTGGATTACCCATCAGGTGTGTCCCCGTTATTTCATGAAATCGCTGGAAAATCATGTTTGGCGTGTGCTATTGGCAAAGAGAGGAAAAGAAGCGAGGACTTTTCAAGGGTTCTGTCTAAATCGCCTAAAACAAACGTAGCCCGGTCTCAGTGCTGGAAAATAGGCTTTATTTGAGCCAGCTTCCCCCACTCCCCCCTCGCCCACACACACACACACGCTGCTGGCTGCGTGAATGCCACATTTCTTCTCCTCCAAGCAGAAGCCCAGGCACACTACACACTTCTGTCTGGGAGCAGCGCTGGGCCCCTTCCAAGGATGATGGGACGTGTGGAGACTACAGGTCATGCTTTCCGTTGTTAAGTACGGACACTGTTCTACAGCCTTCTGTCTCTACCAGGGCCTCTCAGACCCAGATGTTGATGGAAAACGCCTGGGACTGCTCCCAAACGCATTGGACCTGCTGGAGAGCGCTCGGGGTGACTCCGGGGCAGCCGGCACCCAGCATCCATCCTTTCCCTTGAATTTGGGGTGTTCTTGTTGAGAAACACTTCCACTGTGCTCCATGAGGAGGCGCCTTGGAGAACAGCACACGGAGAGACAAAGGGTGGGGTGGAGGGGCCCAGGCATCCTCCTGACTTAACCAGATTAGTTTTGCTTTTGTTTGTTTAACAGGGGGTTGACCGAGGGCAGTGTGTCTGGCCCACTATATTGTGTGTTTTTTAAAAATATATGTTTTTATTGATTTTTGAGAGGGGAAAGGGAGAGGAAGAGGAAGAGAAACATCTGTGTGAGAAAGAACCATGGATCGGTTGCCTCCTCTACATGCCCAACCGGGGGTCCAACCAGCAGCCTGGGGATGTGCCCTGACTGGGAATCAAACCAGTGACCTTTTGGTGAACGGGATGACGCTCAGTCACCTGGGCCACACCAGCCAGGGCTTTCCTGTGTGGTGTTTTTATAAATTAAGATTTATTGAACATGGCCATACACATTTCTTCAGATACTGTCTATGACTGAATGACAGGAGCAGAGTTGAGACCCTAGGACCCACAAAGTCCCCCCGACCCCTACCCCAAAACTGACTATCTGTTCCTTGGCAGAAAGATCGGCAGACTCTGGTTTGGTCTAACCTATTAGAAGCCTGCAGGAGACTGCTGCTGAAGTAGGTGCTCGGTAAGCATTGGCAGAATGAATGGAAGGGTTTCATGGGTAACTACAGCCTAAAAATATCACCCTTGGTTATGGGGCGGAATAATCAGCTGGATCTTAGCTGCACGCTGTGTGGCATTTATGACTCACAGGCTGAGTGGGAAAGGTCATCGTTTGCTTGTCTTTACCACCGGATTGAGAGGAGGAGGGGGTGAGATGGCTTGTCATGAGACACCCATATTTGCCTGGGTCTTGGCCTGGAACCCAACTCTCATCCAAGGACAGAGAGGAATAGTTTGGAATCGACAGCCCGAGGATTAGCACTGCCACATTCTCACTCCAGGTCCCTGAGGTCATCCCCTTCCCTCTCAGGTCTCCGCTCTGTTATCTCCAAGGCCCCTCTCAGCTCGAAGACCGAGGTTCCCCACCTCCCCACCTCCGCCTCTGGTCCACGCCATTCCACTCCTCTCACCTGTGCGTCCAGTTCCATGATGTGAGCCACCTTGTTCCAGCCAAAGCCCACAAACCTCCGGTCGTACTCGGGGCAGTCCCGTCTCACGACCACATACGGCTCGAAATCGGCCTCCCACTCGACCCGGTAAGGCGTGGTGGCGGTCCGCCACTTGGCGAAGTTGGTGGGCGCGTGGCCTTTTGTCCACACGTGGTACCTGGGACACAGGGAGAAGAGCCGCTGAGTGGGAGGAAGGAAGCTGAGCTCTCCAAGGGCTGCGACTGGGAGGAGGAAGAGGTGGATGCTGAGACAGTCCTTGCCGGGGGCTGACCTGTGTCTGCCCCAGAAGACAGGCTCAGGGCCCACCCAGGACCTGTGGATGCAGCCTCTTTGGGAAGAGGGTGGTCACATCTGCAGGAGACAATCTGCAGATGTGACCACATTAAGATGAGGCCAGCCTGGGTCAGGGCGGTGTCCTTGTAAGAAAAGGTGACCTGGCTACAGGGATCCACGGGGAAGGCGGCCGCAGGAAGACAAGGCAGGACTGGAGCGAGGCACCCACACGTCAAGGAACCGCAAGGATGGCGGCAGCCACCACGAGCCAGACAGAGGCAGGGAAGGCTTCTCCTCCGGCGCCTTCCGTGGGAGCAGGAACCTGCCAATGCCTGGATCGGGCACATCTGGCTTCCAGATCTGAGGGTACATTTCCATTGTTTTGAACTGCCCAGTGTGTAGTATTTTGTTATGACAGTCCCAGGAAACTGATCTACATCCTTTACTTGCAAGGAGACCCTCCCTGTGGAAGAGTAGATGAACTCCCGGGGGCTCTGTAGACTTGATAAGCCAGGAACTGCGATTTAGCCTCTCCCCAAGTTACTCCACGGTGGAAGGCGAGGGCTAAGGTGACCCTCGCGACATTACCTTTCTAAAATGTTCTCCCCCTCGAGGTAGATCCTGTGGATATATCACCCCTGTGATGGTGTTACTTTGTGTGGCAAGAGGGATCTTTGTAGGTGTGATTAAGGTTACTAATCAGTTAACCTTGAATTAATTGAAAGGGAGGTTCCTGGGGTGAGCCAGCCTGAATCCTGTGAGCCTTTAGATCTGGCTCCAGAGAAAGCAAAGAACCATGTGTCAGCTGCCTCTGGGGGCCACATGGCAGAGAACCAGCCGGGAAATGGGGACCTCAGTCCTACAATCTCAGGACACAGAATTCCGCTGACAACCAGGGAGCCAGCCTGGAGGAGGACCATGTACAGCCTCACCCACATCTGAGCCAGGTGGCACCTGAGCAGAGCATTCATTCAGCTTTTCTGTGTCTGGACTTCTCACTCCTAGAGACGGTGCCACAATACGTTTCTATTGTTTCAAGCTTTTAAGTGCGTGATGATTTGTTATTCAGCAATAGACATTGCTCATTCAACAATGGTGTAAGTTAGTATTTATTATGCACTCGCCAAAAAAGGATGAGGGAGGCAGCGCCCATGGTGCTGACAGGATAAAACCCACTTTCCAGGTGAATGCATGCACACACAAACAAAAGATCGAATTCAAGGCCAGGAGGCAGGCGGCTAAACTGAGTCGGCAAGAATCAGCTGAACTCCCTACAGTCTTCCCACCCTCCCATCCGGACACATAATGCCCGTCACCCACATCCGAAACAAAGCACGGGGCACGGGGAAGACAGAGCATATTCCAAGGACCCCGCCTGGGGCCCGTGGTGCTTTCTTTGGCCTTAATATGGTCCGAGGTCAGCCACAGACTTTTGGACCAACAGCTCTGGCGTGTGGGTTTCCGGAATCCAGGAGAGCTCTAGGCACCCCAGGGGCCAGCGTGGGGGCCACTCACCTGAAGGTGAAGAGAGTCCCCATGTCCAGCATCGACAGCAGCTCCGCCTTGGACTTGGGGAAGGAGAGCCGGTAGCGCAGCGTCTCGAACGCGGGGACGATCATCGCCTTCTTGGAATTGGCGAGGTCCAGCTGGATGACAGACTTCCTGCCAAGAGAGGGTGGGAGAGTTAGGGGCCCGGTGATGCCCAGCGATGGCCGTCCCCACGTGAGGGCGGGGAGGTGGTTGGCTCAGGTAGGTGCCGGAGGGAAAGCCCAAGTCAGCCTCTGGGTTCACATTTGGAGAAACCGAGGCCCAGGGAGGCCTGGCAGCTTGCTGATCCTCTCTGGAGTCCAGACGAGAACTGTGGTCTCTGAGCCGGAAAGTGGAGTCTCCCTGGAGACTGAATGGAGGGCAGGGCCGGGGACCCTCTCCCACTTCACGGCGCATGGCCTGCTGGAGTCAAGTAGGGTAGGCAGGTCTCCAAGGCTGCTCAGGGCTCGAGCCCAGCAGCTGGGTCCACTGGGCTGGCCACGCAGGAGCATCTGGACATAAGCTGATGACACAATGACCAATGTGGGCATTTGAGTCCCATCTCTGTGACTCCTCAGTCCCTTGCATCCTCCAGACCCTGAGCCTTTAATCTAGAGCGACCCTCCCCCTGCAGCCTGCACCCAGGGCTACTGGTACCCACGTGCTGGAGGGTGGGAAGTTTCCATCCTCTCATCCACTCCTGGCCAAGCCTGGCCTGCTCTGCTCCTTTGAGACCCCTCCTCTCTCTCCTGGATGTGTCTGCCAGTTCCCAGCTCTGTGGCTGTCACTTGGAAAGGGAGAAAGGTCTAGGGAGAAGGCCACAGAGCACGAGGCTTGTAATAAACACGGACAGAACCGGAATCCTGGTCTGTCGCTTTATGGCCAAGTAACTTAGCTTCTCATGACCTCAGGTTCCTTTTCCCCAAAACGGGGTGATCCCATCTCCCTCCTGGCGCTGCTGTGGGGAATGAACATGGTCAACGTCACGTAGGTACGGCCTGGCACACCTGGCGCATGGCAGACTGGGTCACCCGCTGTGGTCACTGCTGTCCTGCAGTGCTGCCATCAGTCCCTGGCTCTCTCTCAGCCTCTCTTTGGGCCATGACCGTGGTACCTTATTCTGCCTTCCCGCTCAGACCACTGGCCTCTGGGTCTCCAGGCCGGCATGGCCGTCTGCTTGTAATCTCTGACCACACAGTGGTTGATGCCTACCGAGGTTAACTGTATGTGTCAGCTGGCTAGGCTATGGTGCCCAGCTGTTTGGTCAAACATTCGCCCAGACATTGCTGTGAGGTATTTTGTGGATGAATGAACATTTATAGTTAGTTGACTTTACCCTCAATAATGTGGGTGGGCCTCATTCAATCAGTTGCAGGCCTTAAGAGCAAAAAGTGAGCTTTCCATTTTGTCTCAAGATGGTAACATAGGAATCCTGCCTGAGTTTCCAGCCTATCTTCTGGATTTCAGACCTGCCCATTCTCAGAATTCCTTAAAGTCTCCCCGTCTCTCTCTCTCTCTCCATCCATCCATCCATCCTATTGGTCTGTTTCTCTGAATAATCTGGATTGATACACTATGCTGCTTCTTGTCCAAGTAGTCACAAACTCACTATAACAATTTTGGACTGAATACTCTTAAAAGAAACCTTCGGCATCTACTGAAGTAATTCAGAACCTGATGGAATAATGGACAGCAGGGCAAATACAAGTGATTGGGAGCACCCAGCACAGGCTTAAATGAAGCCCGTCCCTCTGTGACGACCGTGGGCACCAGGCTCGACTTCTCCTGGTCACAGGTCCCTGGTCTGTGAAGGGGGTATGATATGATCTTGCTTATCTCGTCAATCAGGGCTGCTGGAAGACAAAATGACAATCCCTCGAGAGCCTGACACAGTGCCTGGCTTGGAATAACTCATTAACAAGTGAGTCCCCACCCCTTTCCCAGCTCAGCTCATTGGTGGGCCAGTTGCAAGAAAATGTGCCTACATGTATGCATGGGTGTACCTGTATGCATGTGCCTGTATGTGTGCACATGCGTGTGTGTGTGAGACTTAGGGAGGCTGTGAGGAGCCTCATTCCCCCAGCTGTCCCCTCACCCCCTAAACTGCTTCGTGTCAGCAGTATAGACATAAGCGGCCTTTCACCCAGAGCCAGGGGAGGCCACCTGAACAAGGCCTCTAAGGACTCAGCCACCTCCTCGGGCAGAGGGGAAGGCGGCAGCGGAGGGAGGTGGAGCATCTGCTCTGCTATGGGTGTCAGCCCAGCCGAGTCCTTTCTCAGACACATCCCTGAACGGAGACCAGGAAACAGGGTTTGCTCGGATTCCACTCCAGTTGCCAAGAAAAGGAGTCCTGGTGGACAGGCCTCCAGGGGGTGTGGGGACATCAGCCAGGTCTTGCAAATGAGGGGGTCAAGGCTGCCCACTGGAAACACACGCAGGACGGGTGAGGTCGGAGAGGGGCAGAGCCCAGCGGGGTCCTGCTCCTGTCTCGAGGCATGAACACCTCCAGGCAGAGACTGCCAGTCAGGGAGGGCAGGAAGGAAAGAGACGCTCTTGCCTCGATGGCGTGAACACCTCCAGGCAGAGCCTGCCCGTCAGGGAGGTCAGGAAGGAAAGAGACAGTGGGCAGGAGCTCTGGGGTCATTACAGGAGAAAAGAGCCGTAGTGCACGGTGCCACGCTCTGAGCCGGGGACTCTATCCATTGCCTCTGTATTACCAACATCGCCCCGATTCCATTACCCCGCTGCCCTGTGTTCACGGCCAGCGGCTGTGGCAGAGCTTCGGGGAGCTGCCTCTTCGTGGGCGCCGTGTGTTGTGCGGCCTTGGGTCCCGGGCAGCCAGGGCTCCTCAGTGAGGAAGGTGGCTCGGGGGGCCGACGGCCCAGAGTCATGTCCTCCTGGACATTCCCCAGCGGCCCTGTGGGCAGGTGACCCCTCTGTGCTGCGGTTCTCTCCAGGGCCGGGGACAGGGTTAGTGCCTGGACTGCGGGATTTGTGAGGATTAAATGGATTGTCTCACGGAGGGACTGAGGCAGTGCTCTAACGCACAGAACACACTTGATAGAGACCACCTGTGATGACGACATGGCCGTCATGGGGAGGATGGAGACGGGCCCACCAGGCAGCTGGGTCGGTCCACAGGGCAAGCACCGGACCCTCTGGTAGACCCGGGTAAGCTAGGTGTCCGCTTGGTGAGGCTGTGCCTGTGGGGAGGGGACTTAGCTAATCCTCCTCATCTGTAAGTGAATTGTGAGGTTCAATGACCACAGACTGCGCAAGTGCTTGCCACAGTGCCCGGCACACAGTAAGGGCGCAATCAACACTGGCAGTTACATACGGAGGATTGAAACGCTGAACTAACCTAAGGAAACGCCACCCGCGATGGCAGGCAGCCAGCTGGCTGTGCTCGGTGCCGCCCCGCGGCCGTGCTCAGATTCCCGTGCTCATTCCACAAGGACTCACAGAGCACCGTGCTGAGCGGGGACACAGGACGGGAGGGCGGCGAGGCGTCCTTCCGGGGAGCAGAGTGACGCTGACTGTCGCTCCCGTACAGCTCGGAACAGACTCTGCCC